TGTTATACAAAGTTTTTGGCGTTCTTTTCCAAAATAGTACTGCGTGTATGTATAACTTATCTGGATCCAGTCCCCCCCAAACCCCCCCGAAAAAATATTAGCATGGGGAAAAATGGTTTCAGGACACCGTCACGAAACTGTTCCTGTAATAGAATGCTTAATTCATTTGTAAAAATGTTAAGAGAGTTTGACTCAACATTTTCAATTGTCTAACTGGTAAATACTGTATCAGTGGAAACTCTATTGAAAGAAGACAAAAGAAAACTCGCTCTTATTCGAAAAAGTCGAGAAAATCAATAACAATACAACATATACAATGCCTGTGATGATAATGATCGAAATTTGTTTGCAAACACCAATTGTACAAGAAATTATTTAATAAATCAGTTTATTAAAAATATACATGCAAATAAATTATGCTTCATGTTCATTATCTATCGATATCATTGCTTTAAAAGCCCCTAAACAAATATATATACTAGTTCAGTGATAATGAACGCCATACTAAACTCCAAATTGTACACAAGAAACTAAAATTAAAAATAATACAAGACTAACAAAGGCTAGAGGCTCCTGACTTGGGACAGGCGCAAAAATGCGGCGCGGTTAAACATGTTTATGAGATCTCAACCCTCCCCCTATACCTCTAGCCAATGTAGAAAAGTGAACGCATAACAATACGCACATTAAAATTCAGTTCAAGAGAAGTCCGAGTCTGATGTCAGAAGATGTAACCAAAGAAAATAAACAAAATGACAATAATACATAAATAACAACAGACTACTAGCAGTTAACTGACATGCCAGCTCATTTGTGTATTCCAAAAAGTCAGCAGGGTATTCCACAAAGTCTTTAGCATGTTACTGTTTACTAAATATAACAGTTTTTCACATCTACGTTTTCGAGTACAGCAGTCTGCTCACGTTAACATTTAAATGGCTTCCGTTTTTCGTCTCTTAGCGATTTTGTTCAAACACGACGTGTTATCTTGTTATTCCACGCTGCCAGATATACACGGCTTATGTGCATCAGTAGCTGCCTCATTTTGTCCACTTATGAATGAAAATAGTTTCATTTTTTAAATGACACAGATGGCGTTATTCTTGTATTGTATTGTCGCTAATAAATGGATTTTAATACATGTATTTGCAGTCTTCTCGATCTATTCACATTCAATGTTTACATCGGCATATGGTCAGATTTAATTTGCTTAATAACTTGATTGCAAAAGAGCCAATCTTAGCTGCATATCAATCGATTCCATTGAATTGATTCTCTGAATGTTTTATGATCTGGCTGCATATATATACAAATAATTAGCATGTTCGAGAATGGCATACAGCTAACAGAAAAGAAATTGAAGTTAGTACTCAAGGAATTTATTTCCATAGCAATATGTTAAACCAAAACTGCACCAAGTTTCCTTTAGCCTGCTGTACTGGCCTTTTGCTAAGTTCTACATAGCGGAACAAATGATCAGTATGCTGGAGTGTCTTATAAACAGCACATTGTTGAATTTGTATGTATATTATTAAAACAAATTGTCGGTATTCCTATGGGGAACGAACTGTGCTCCTCCCCTTGCCGACCTTTTCTTATTTTCATATGAGTCGGAGTTCCTTCAGACAGTTGTCAAAAACAAGAACATCAAAGCTGGATCATTTAATTTCACATTCAGATACATTCCTTTTTGGGTTCATTTATAGCTTGCTGTTCGGTGTGAGTTAAGGCTCCGTGTTGAAGACCGTTCTGTCATCTATAATGGTTTACTTTTACAAAGTGTGACTTGGATGGAGAGTTGTTTCATCGGCACTCATACCACATCTTCCTATATCTATATATTGATGATGTTCTTTCCATTAACAATCCAAACTTTTCTGATTGGGTTCCATTAATATGTCCTCATTAACTAGAAATTAAAGAAACAACAGACACGATTCCTCCGCCTAATTTTAAGTCTTATACCTCGAATTTGACATACGCGGTCACCTCAGTACCAGAATCTATGACAAACGAGAGAGTTTAATTTTGAAATTTCCCCCACCTCAGTAGCAATATACCAACTTCACCTGCATATGGGATATGCATTTCGCAACTCATTCGGTATTCAAGATCTTGCAGCTGCTTCTCAGACTTTGTAAAACGTCACCAGTGTCTGGGCAGAAAGTTGATGAACCAGGGGTATGTCAAAGAACGTCTCGTCCTTTAAATTTCATCGGAAGATAGCAAGACATTGTTGATTAATATTCCGTATCAACTTCACAAATAATACACAATGGTCTTGAATATAGATTATAGGTACTGACGTTGTTTATCATCTTAATTACGTGTTTTAGTAGTCTTTTATTTGTCTTTGTGAATATTACTTCTACTGTTTAGTTTATTTTTGGTAATATCCATTTGACGTGGCTCGGTACTTATACATCCAGCCATTGTGTAATTGTGCAATGGTACATTTTAGTATTCTTGTCTTTCATTTTTGTTAATGTGCTTTGTCAATATGCCTTTTTCTGTTTCTTTGTTGACACATTGGTTTGTTTTTTAAAATGAATAAGATTAATACACAATGATGACCCTATTTCTGACACTTTTACCTATTGTGTATAACTCATCGTTTTCAATGTAATGGAATTGTATGCGACTGTCATACAAGTGAGAGGTTTAGCTTGGTATAAACCCAGATATTTTCCATCATTTCCTACAATGGAAAATGCCTGTGCCATGTCGGAAATATGACAGTTCGTTTGGTGTGTTTGAGCTTTTGATTTAGCCATTTAATTAGGGACTTTCCGTTTGGAATTTTCATTTGAGTTCGGTATTTTTGTTATTTTACTTTCTGCTATTTAAGGTGGAAAATGTAACATTAAAGTTAAGTTTTGTTTTTATTTCAACTTACTTTTATTTATACTCTTTACCAGAGCAGTTTTTCGTGAACTTAAAATTGATAGTGTCCTTCTAAAACGAGACACACATTTAAAAGATCTAGTTTTCAGTGTTTACAGGGAGGAAATATTTGTCACTAGATTTTAACTAGTATAGAAAGATATTCGTCATGTCATCGCTGTAACACGACTGCAAATTTAGAAAAAAATACGTTATCGGAGAAAGGTATATCTGTGTCTGCTCATACGCACAATTCTAATCAAATGATATACACTCCCAACTTGTTAGGAAGCAATACTTCATTTAATTGTCTTGCAATATGAAATGTGAACTTATGATTGTAGCAAGATCTACTTACCTCTTTTTGAGTTTTTTAGATATCCACTATTTGTTGCTCAATCGTAAGTTTTTTCTGGTTTTTTGGGTGTCCACTGTTGTTTGTCATTAATCGTTTTTGTTTCCCATGTCGTTGTCAATTTGTTTCTACTTAAAAGTTTGAAAATTCTTTTGGTAACGTTTATTATTGCCTTTCTTTAACATTTTTATTACCTTGTGGAGTGAGTAATACTAGTCTACACGTTTGTTCTTTCAACACTGAAAACAACATTATAACTTTCATGTGTCCCAAGCGCTTTCTTGGATAAAACTTCATTAACTAAAGTTGCATTTTTGTTATTTGCAACATATTCTAAAATAATATCTAGTCTTTTGTATATTGTTTCGATTTCAATTGACATCAAAAGTACATTCATCACATGGCAGCGGTATAAATTTGTCTTAAAACATTGATTACGTTCAAACTGAAACAGTATTTTACAAAAAATCTTGTGTTTAACTTTATTTCTGTAGTATGTTAATTGTTCTACAAAGCTGATCACCCCGAACCTCCTACAAATGTATCAGTAATTCCATATGAAAAACATCTGGTAGTGTCATGGTGTCCAGAATATAACGGAGGTGACCCTCAGACGTTTTTCATAGAATATCGACGAGAAGCCGGTGAAACGTGGACACGTTCAGGACCTATTATTGATAACAAGAAGGTTAGGATGTCAAATCTCCTGTATAACATTAGCCCAAAAAGACGATACTTTGTACGGATGTTATCAAGAAATGAAGTTGGTGAAAGTAACAAGACGGTTGTCACTTCTGTGATGACTTAAGGTGAGTAATTGAATCATTCATATCATGTAATACAAAGTTTCCGAGTAGTATTCGTTCATAGTACTGTGTCTATATTTAGGTTACTTTGAGTGTGAATAAACTTTATAAACCTTACGTTTTCTGACAATGTACTGTCTACGTTTTCTTTGTATGTGTTATGAGGAGGGATTCCCCAAAATCCCATCCTGTCGACGAAATGGGTAGTTTATTCTTTTTGAGTTTAAACGATTTTCTCGTTTTCTTTTTTCATTTGGTTGTTTTGTTTAAAAAAGATTTACGAGATTTGTCAAGCCAATGAAATATATAAAAAAATAATTTTCGTCGAAATTACAAGTTGCTGTGGGAAATAAATTCCTTAGAATTTCCCCCCAAAAAAAGAAAGATGTCTTTGAGATTTCAATTTTTACATATGTATAATTTATTGTAACACAGTCAACCCTGTTTGATATAGTTTCATTTAATAATTCGCCAAAATGTAATATTAAAAACAAAATATGGAATGAGCATATATATATTATATTTATGATATATGAATCTAAGGCGCAATTACAACATAGGTAAGCCACCTACCAAAACCAATAACAACAACAACAACAACAGATTTTGATTTTGACATTCGATAAAGAACTTTTCGATTTGAGTTTTCTTTGGAGTTCTGTTTTTTATGTTGTTTTACTTTTTGCAACAGTTAACACCATCTGTTCATAGATAAATACGAGGATTTAGAATTCTAGTCTATGGGGCTTAGCAGGACATATATTAAGAAGACTATCTTGTTTATGAAAACAAATTATTACGACAATAAGAACTCGACTTGTGATAAAAATCTGTTTTAATTTGATAACTGTGCTTCTCCTGTCACGACAAGATTCAATTCTCATGGTATTGGTTCTGATTCCGTTCGTTTGTATTCATTGAATTCTTTTTTAACTAGATTTCTATTTATTTTACAGAGCCAACGATTAACATATATCGTGTGAAAGCTGTGTTTGTAGTTTTATTGATAGTTATTGTAGTTGTTCTATCCAAAGAGGTGTCTTTAGTTGTATTGCTCGTTTTAGCAGTCATTTTAGCTGTTTACGGATTGATTACTTTTTTCTTTCTAAGAAGAAAAGGTAGGATATGTAAAGTATATAGTCAAATATATCATACAATAGTAGATTTTGTCAGTTTTCCCCTCTTCTTTATCGAAGATATCATTATTTCATAATTGATTAGTGTTTGATTCAGCACAAAAAGGCGAGTCTTTTTTAATCCTAAACAAGAAATAATTGTTTGCAAATTTATATATATATCAAAATATAACAGCTAGGTGTTGTCAGCAGTTGTGAAGACCTGTTGGTGACCTTCTGCTGCTGTCTGTTCTATGGTCGGGTTGTTGTCTCTTTGACACATTCCCCATTTCCATTCTCAATTTTATTTTTATTGTTTTGTTTTGATCAAATAATTCATAACTTTTGCATAATTTGTAAATTCTGTCCAATATATTCGTCAATGTTGTTCTTTTAAACTTGACGGAAACAAGTATGTTTTCATGCTGCTAGTAACATAAAACTTTCTGTTTTTTTTTTCTTTTCTTGGAGGTTGCAAATAACATTCCATATTTTCTTAATAATTAGTTCTTATTGACGATATGTAGTTTTTCTTGATTTTTTATTACAGAAAAAGATGCATCTGACAACTACAATCCGTATGTATATTTGATAGATACTACCTTCAAACATATATTTCGCACGTTCTCCTCTCTAATACATATGTGCTGCGTCGTATAGAACTCGACCTTATGCAAATGAATACCAATACATTTGTTAACCTATTTCAGATCAATACAACTCTATGGAAAGTTTGTAACTGTTTGAAAATTGAGCTGTTATAAGAAAATCTATAAACAGACCAAAACTAATCTTTATTTTGTATTCAAATGTTCAAAAATCAATCAATGTCTTATACTCAGCTCATATTGTGTTCTTATATTTTTCGAAATCCAATATCTTTTTTTTTATTTTGATATCGCCAGCTTTGTCTGTGAATTAAGTAAATGTCTTGATGTTAATTTTGCCGTTAGGTCGATATCACTATTTCCCACATTTCCTATCATTCATAAAATAACATAAACGGTACCAATTTTTCTGCACATGATGCGCATTTTGACAATCAATGTCTCTTCAGTGATGCTAGATGCAAAAATATTTTAAAATTCAAATTCAGTTTTTCACAAGAAACAGACGGAAAAATGTTCAACCTACTTTTTCATGAAAGATATACATCATAATTTATTATATATGATTTCTAAGCATTATAATTGAAGTAAAGATGTCAAATTACACAACATAAAAACATGATAAATATATGTTCAATAAGTTTAAAATGTAGATTCCATTATCCATAAAATGTTGTATGACAATTATGCTAGCCGATGTCACATACATCTTTGAAAAAATCACAACAAAACAGACATATTATTATAGTCATTATAATTATTAATTTATATTATAGGAGGGAGGAAGAAGTTAGAGAAAACTTTCAAGGTAACGAATATATACTGACGTATTTCAAATTGTTTTGTAGTAAAAAGATATCTAAGTAATGCATTTTATTATAATAAATAACATAATATACGGTGCGGTGCATTGGTCAACTAGTTAATACCTAACACAAAGCACAAGTCATCAACACGTTAAAATTACTATACGATAATATAAAGTATTTCAGTGCATATAAAATAGGTAAAACTCTAGTCACTTCATTTTTTATAAAGTAATTCGTACATTAAAAAAGCTTTCATAGATTTGCCATGAACATCAAATTACTACATGACATAACAAAAATGTGTACTTGTACATGTATACGTTAAAGATCAAACAAACAAACGACGGTGTTCTTGATTTTGGGATGGATTCTGCAAGTTCACATGGAACGGTTTACGTAGTTTTTAATATCACAAATATCCATCTTTTTTAGATAACATATTCAAAATTTACATGATAATACAAATAGTTGTTTATTTTCATATATACATATTTCAATTTTAATTACAAACGTGAGATAAAAGATGTTTAGAAAGTTATAACTGGTGTTCCCTAGTGTTAAATAGTCTCCCATTAGTATTTTGCATGGCAAATGGAATTCGTGTACTGTCAGGCATCCTCCGCATGTGTCCCTGGGCTGTTTATGATTATCATACATCAAGTGTTATGAAATAAGATGCATTACAAATTTAAAAAGAAAACAAAAAAATCAGTCTTAGCTTTTTATCTATATCTAAGTGGTATACAAAGTTTTTTTTTAAATAACATGTAATATAACATGACCAAAATTAGCATAAATTAAAAAAAAGAAATAAAAAGACTTTAAATAGCGTCCGAAGCGTTTTTTCTGTTTTAACTTCGACCATTAAAGCTCACAGTCTAGTATTTGAAAGCCAAGGATGTATAAGAACCGAAACAGTTGGTGAGCTTTATACCCAAACAGACTAATGGATAGCATTGATAACAATAACATTCAATACCGAGTATGGTCACAAGAAAAAAGATTCAAGAACTTAATTTCATATTGATATGAAATCATCGTCCAGCATTTGAATATCAATTTGCCCTTTTGCCTAGCTAGTTTGAATTGCACTCTTTTTATTCATTTAAATATCTTATTTTGTTTTAGAAATAGTAACACCTATTTTGCCTCATGCAATCAGTATTAAAATAACAAAAACACTTTACTGATGTGTAAAATTATTTCGCGTTTTCTTTGTACGATTTTCACACGTATATTCTTTTTTATTTTGCTGTGAATCATACTTTGAACGACAAAATTAGTTTATTTTATTAATATTACTTTTACTGTTAAGTCTGATTTTTGTAATATCCATTTGACGTGACTCTGTACTTATGTATTCCGTCATACTTTGAACGTCAAAACTATTTTATATCTACCTGATTCTACGCCAGTACTTAAAACCTTCCATTTTTTATGGATGGATTTTACATGGATAAATAAAATCGTATAACAAAGAAGCAAAATGAGGATGTTAAGTTTGATGTATGCCTTTTTGAATACAAGTGAGAGGTCTAGCTATCTATAAAACCAGGTTCAATACACCATGTTCTACATAAGAAAATACCTCTACTAAGTCAGGAATATGACAGTTGTTATCCTTTCGTTTGATGTGTTTGAGCATTTGATTTTGCCATTTGATAAGGGACTTTCGTTTTTGAATTTTCCTCGGAGTTAAGTATTTTTGTGATTGTGGGATTTACGTTTTATTTGCTTTAGTGGAACCAGTAGACAACCAGCTCTATATTTCATCAGAAGACCTAGATTTAGCTCGTGTGCATAGCTTACGCAATGAAAGCGAAATGGATACAACTTTGCCATCAACATCTCATGATAACCAAATTTACCAGATGCAACTTCATAACGAAGGTGGAGGTAAATTGTATTTATGAGACAATATCTGAAAATGTCTAATTTCCATGTTCCATCTTTCACCAGCAATTATTTTTTTATTCAACCATCTTTTTGGAAAACTTTAAGTTTCAGTATTAACTAAAGTATATAATGCACCAACTCTTGCCAATTAAACACTCATTCTTATATTTCTTCCAATAAAATATTGTAATTTAAATGTTCACCCCCCCCCCCCCCCCCCCCTAAAATCATGTTGTCCCCTGTGTTTTTTTGAAAACTAAATCATTCAAATAATATCCAAATTAATTAAACAGGCGTCCGATTCTCACATATATGATATATTATATAATAAACTTGCCCCTAATTAGTCTTTTTTTTTTATTATAACTAAAGCATGTAATAAAATTTTGCAAATTTAAGAAAAAAAAAATTTGTCCCAAGGGGTAATTTCCCTCCTGTTACCACTGTTTTTTTTTCACCTGTGGAAACGTTTACAAGACCAAGAGTTTTTTTCCCATAATGCATTGTGAAGAACATCATTTCCTGAATGCATTAGTACAAAGAAATAGTTTCAGGCGGCCAGGTTTGAAAATCCAAGCCCATCCAAGGTAAGAATTTATAGAAAAATACTTATTGGTGTTCTATCCTGTTATAGCCTTTTCTTGCACCTTCTGAGAATATTTTTCTGTGTGCACCACAACATTAAGTGTGTTTTTATATCATCTTTTTAAAAACTATATGTCACAGGAAATACACTTACATTTAATGTGATAAAAAGGACAAAAATGATCGCGTAATTCCTTTCTGTTACGTTCCGTCATGTTACCTGAAAAAAAGTAACAGCATAACCATAATCAGTAACAGGAAGGATGTTAAAGACAATTTCACTGATGAATCACAAAGTTAATCTTCTATATGTCAAACATTTCATTTAATATAAGTTATGATCATGATATTAGATAAATCTCAACATAATATACAGTATATTGAATGAAAAGACAGGTTTTTTACTTTTGATCACAGCAGAGAACATTGTGCAATTCTAGTATAGTAGATGGTAACAGAAAGGAATAATTTTTAGAATTTTTCATTACCTAGGCAGTTTTTTCATCTTGCAAATATAGTTTTAAAAGATAAATGACATTGTTTGCTGTTATCTTCCAATTGTGACCAATCTGAAATGATGTATTTTTCTTAAACTATGGAATAAAGCAATTGTTTTGAAAAAAAAATCCTTCCTGTTTCCAACTCTGTCCTGTTACTTGTCCTGTTACTCAAGATTCGTTCATGTTACCGACATATCGGACTATATTTTAGTATGTTTCTTAACCTTTTGTATTGCAAATGCTAAAATAAATAATTGGCATTTGATAAACTACTGCAGGATATACTAGTAAACCACAAATAGTATCTTAAACTTATTCCTTATTCCCATTAGAAACTTTTTTAAATTGATTCACTTTGGTAACAGGGAAGAACTGGAATTTTTTGTACCATTTTTAAAACTGCCATTGTTACCACATTTAACAATTGTTTGAATTACAGACAACAGTTCCTAGATCCTCAATGTGTGTTTTTTCGATTTGTGGTATTAAAATTCCGGTTCTAAAGAATTTTTTTTTTTTTTTTCCTATTGCCAAAAATTTGACTTTTTCAGATATTGTCTCTTATATATAATGACAAAGCTAGTTTCTATTTTCTTTTATTTTTGTTCATATACATTTGATATATGAGTACCGTATATTTCAGGGGCATGAAATAACATTATCTATCACATACATACCGATCGACTGTTCATGTACATACATGTTGTATCATAGTACTCCTTATTGACAATCATGTCCTCTTTTTTATGAATGTGACAGTTACACTTATCACTAATTGTGTACTTATATAGGCAAAACATCGGTTGCCAAATGTGTAGCAAGAAATGTTTACCTTTCAAAACATATATAATTTGTTTAAAAGGGGCTCGTGTTGTGCTTCTTTGTTACATATTTGTTTTTAGTTTACAGTGATTAAGATTATAACACAATTATGGCTGATGTACCCCTATTTTTGTCTGTTTGTTTTGTCAATGTAATGGAATTTGATGCAACTGTCATACAAGTGAGAGGTTTAGCTAGCTTTCAAACCTTGTTTAATCCACCATTTTCAACATGAGAAAATGCCTGTACCAAGTCAGGAATATGACAGTTGTTATCCATTTGTTTGGTGTGTTTGAGCTTTTGATTTTGCCATTTGATTAGGGACTTTCCTTTCTGAATTTTCCTTGGAGTTCAGTATTTTTGTGATTTAACTTTTTAGCCTTAGTTAAAAGTGTTTGTCTTGTGATTTTTAACTGTCAATGTCTGTATTGTTTATACAGCTTACAATCTTGTATTTTCTTTGTCATGATGAACTTTTGTCAATTCCAAGGTTTATCATTCGGTCGAGTTTCAGAAATAGCTGTCTCATTGGACATTATACCACTTGTTGAGCTATAAAATCAGGTTTAAACTACCACATTATGAAATGCCTAAACCAATTCAGGATTTTGATAGTTGTTTTCAATTCGTTATATGTGTTTGAGCTTTTGAGTTTGTCATTAAATAAATGACTTTCCTTTTATATTTCCCATAGAGTTCGGTATTTTTATTATTTTAGTTTTTGTTGATAGTGATATTGTGACTGAATGTGGATTCAAATTCGTATGCGAAGTGAGAGAAACATTCATGGAAGCCATATGTTTGTCGAACATTTACACATGGTCTGGGCTGTGATATTCTAATTTTATGCTGAGCGTTAGCGAGGGATAAAAGTAACGAATATCACGGCCAAGGCCATGTGTTAATGTCCAACAAATCTATGGCTTCCATGAATTATTTCGATTCTAATAGGACAAATACGGTAATTTTAAAACTAAAGCGAAGGTAAGATTGCCGTAGGTATGGCTGTTCTTATTTACTCCCTGTAAAACAAAAGCTACAAATTTCAAATAAATCTGAGTCTTGCTTCAATTATTTCTTAAACTACCAGTAGAATAAAATGTGTTCAATCCGTATAATTCTTAACCCAAACATTTGTTGTTGTTGTCTACTATTCACTGTCAAATCCACAGATGATATGTCGTAACTAAGGAGTGAGCCGCTGATTTCACTTGCTGAAATCCACAAATGTGCAAATAATGCAATAGAATAGAAAATGAAACAACACCTTTTGATGCGATAATATCCGAACTGAGGGCGTATACGTAACGGAAAACCTTCAGCTTGAGAATTTTCATTCGTATGACGTCATGTTATGACACGAGTCATGACGTTAATGCGCCAAGATAATTCACGAAATTTCGCGGAATCTTATTTTATTTTGATTTTATACATTTTTAAGCTTTTTTGCATAAATTCTATTAATTATGCATTAGAATAGGAATAACAGTTCTGTAGTTTCTTTTTCAATTTCAATTTGAACACAACGAAATCGACATAGTGTCTGAACATAGGTTACGATACATGTGATTTACGTGGGAGATTTTAACATCGGATACCTACTTTTTTTTTTATATATCATCCTATTTCTAAAAAAAAAAAAAAAAACCTGAGGACAAAATGAACGCACACATTGAAAATTTTCGTGACGTTGAATAGACAACTGAACCAGAGACACAATAATTTTTGTTCATATAACTTTCCTCTTTAATCACATTAGGTTATTTCCAAAAGATTCTTTGTAGAAACATATGTTGAAATAAAGTAACTTACCTAAGAATACTGATATGTAATCAATTGTATTACTTCATAACGCTTTGAAATATATTTCACTTTAGCAAATGGTCGGAGATCATGTACTTATATAAACAGGGGCATGGTCTCGTCAGTTTACAACCCTCAGGTAATTATGATAACGACTATTTTTATATGTTCAATTCGCCTCAAAAGCCAAACTTAACTTATACAACCTATCAAAACAATCACAGATGAACTTTAGATACATGTCAAATATCTAAATTTCTACATGCATGACATAGAAAATCGTAAAAAAAAAAGTATTAGTCTTTTGTCGTCATGAATATTGTCTATGCACACTCTGGACGATAAGAATTAAAAGATGAAAAGGATGTTCTTCTATTTTTGTCTGCCTATTATATGGCTTTGAAATTAAGATTGACTGCAAGAAAAAGGATTGTTCGGTAAAAGCAGCGCATTTGCTTTAATGTTGTCAAAATATCTCTCCAATCTTTTCAAAGGTCATAAATATGACAGTTGTTTCCCATTCGTTTGATGTATTTGAGCTTTAGATTTTGCCTTTTGTTAAGGGACTTACCGTTTTAAATTTCTTTAGGGTTCGGTATATTTGTTATTTTACTTTTCCGTAACCTTCGTCTTTTTTTACACGTTTAGGCCGTCTTTTTTTCATGACTTGTATTTTTTCATGGACTTATTTTTTCCCTTCATTTCAGACTTGTGATCCAAGTCTTAACTATTCCGAAATCACATTCAACACAGCATCGACAATGCAAGATGCTGTCATACATGGTGGTGTAAATAGAACAATATATTCTGAAATAGATTTAACGGCAGAACCTGTAGCTCCACTTTCCAGCAGCGAAAGTGAAAACGACGAAAGCGATGAAAGTGATATTTGACTTAATATGTATATTGTTTATAGTTTATACATAGTGTAGAGTAAGGAACGATTCATATTTGTATATATATTTTCTTTGATTCTTATAATGAATTGATTAGGTAATGACAGTTAGCAAGGCAATATTTAGTAATTAATAAGATCATAAGGATTGGCTTATACAAGTTGCGAGCCTTATTTACATACCTTTGGACATACTAATGGACGTCATACTATACTCCAAATTATACACAAGAAACTAAAATTAAAAACGATACAAGACTTACAAAGGCCAAAGGCTCCTGACTTGAGACAGGCGAAAAAATGCAGCGGGGTTAAACGTGTTTTTTTAGATCTCAACCCTCCCCTATACCTCTAGTCAATGTAGAAAAAACAAACGTACAACAGTACGCACAGTAAAACTCAGTTTAAGAGAAGTCCGAGCCCGATGTCAGAATAGGAAACAAAAGAAAATAAACAAAATGACAATAATACATAAATGAACAAAGGACTACTAGCAGTTACTGACATGCCAGCTCCAAACCTCAATTAAACAGATTGAAAGATTATGTCTTCATCATATGAAAATCAAGTACAATCCCTCCCGTTAGGGGTTTAGTATCATACCATCTGAAATATATGAGAAGAACATAACCCGTATCATGCCAACAACTGGTTTTAGAATAAATGTGTTTAATTCCGATGCAAAGACCCTATAAGTGAATTTATATTAAAGCCAAAATATGCAATCTTTAATGACCTGACAACAGTATCGTATCTATATCCCTTCTTAATAAGTCTGTTTAAAGGTTTTGTTAGCTTTTGAGGTGAATACTGACATTGTTGGGCTTTGTAAAGAATATTACCATAAAAGATTGGATGTGAAATACCCGAACGTATAAGATGTCTGCATGTTGAGTTATATTTACGAATGATGTCCTTATACCGATGATAAAATTTAGTAAATGTGTTGACTAGTTTATGATATCGAAAACCCTGGTGTAATTATTTTTCAGTAATACATAGATTTCTTTCGCTAAAATCTAATACGTTGTTACACACACGAGCGAATCGTACAAGTTGGGTATATAAACACCATAAGATGGTGACAAGGGAACGTCACCATCTAAAAATGGATAATTAACGATAGGAAATGAAAAATTATCTCTTTTATCATAAATTTTTGTTTGAAGCTTCCCGTTAATGATATAGATATCAAGATCGAGGAAAGGACAGTGGTCATTGTTAGTATTATCTTTATTTAAAGTAAGTTAAACAGGATAAATTTCTTTAGTATACATACTGAAGTCGCCATTATTGAGAGCCAATATATCATCCAAATATCTAAAAGTGTTGTTAAATTTTTGTATCAGATGTTGTTTCGATGGGTCTTTACTGATTTTAGTCGTAAATTGTAACTCATAACAATACAAAAACAGGTCCGCAATAAGTAGTGCACAGTTAGTCCCCATTGGAATTCCGATAACTTCACGATATACAGAATCTCCAAAGCAAACAAAAAGTTATCAAGTAAAAATTCAAGGGCAGATATAGTATCAAAGCATGTCCAATTGACATAGCTCTTTTGTTAGTTGCTAATAAAAAATGACCTAAAAGAGTTTGAACATATGTATTCGCATTCCGACTTTTTAAATGCCCATTTAATTAGGTGTGTGAATTTTTTCTTAATAAGAATATGAGGCAAAGTGGTATATAGGGTAGAAAAAACAAAACTTTGAACAGATTCAAAATCACCAAGCCAGTACATAGTTGGGACTTTCATTGTATTTGGTTCTGCTTGTAAAGAAGTATCTGATAGTTTATATTTGTTACAGATATCGTTTTCTGATAATGAAGTCAGTTGGAATGTTGGTGAATTCGTGATTTCCATTATTTACCTCATTAGAAAGTATTATTAATCGATCAAGTACATCCGTCTGCTGTTCACAATATGATATGTACATAATAACTCCGTAAGATATCAATATTTCTTGAGATTAGGTTCTGGATAAACTTACAGTTGAATATTACAGTATGCACTAAATTAACGTACATTTTACATTCTTACGTTGTAATCTCAATGAAAAAATCATGACAGTAGGATGAAAGCCAAAATGAAATATATTATGAAAAACGTAATACTTATTATGCATTTTGTCAGTACAGAATAATGAGTGTGAAGATTTATGTTGTTTACTCTGTTATTATTAACTTGTAGTATACATTGCTTTGTTTTCTTAGTTATGTAGTTTTGTCATTATCAAAAAATGCATATTGTATTGATAATTTTTCAATGTATAGTATTAAAATATATCCAACTTATATTCGTTTTCAACATAAATGTTTCATGTAGAACTATATACTGGCAGCTATGATAAATGTAATGGGAAATTCATTTATGTTTAAAGAAAATAAAAATATGCTTATTATGCGTATTAGAATCAACGTGGGTTTTTTTAATTAAAGAATTGATCTATGAAACATTTTTTTTTAAACTTTTGTCCGATGATGTATTAATTCACTTCTTAAAACAGTCCCTGAAATGAAAGATTCGTTTTCCCACCATACACAACTTTTTTTGTAGGTTTTAGATCTCTTCCAACTCACCTTGTTATCGATTTCAGAAAGAACATAACGTGCTTCTGGTGTAAACTTGGCATGATACGTTCGAGACCAAAGCTATAAACTATGAAAACAAACGTGACAAGCCAACACCCTTGAGCATCATGTCAGAACTAAAAATTTGATTTTTTTTCAATATGCCACAGTAAGGCACTTATCTTTATTTATAGGGGAGAAGCATACAAAAGAGATACAATCACTGATTTGCAAGAATGTTATGACAATCTTGTCAACACATTACTGCATAAATTTAGAAAGAGTACAAAAGTAAGAAGATATAAGGGACTAAACAAGAAAAATTTTGCTTTCGAAAAAAATAGCAATTTCTGCTTGATGACTGGTATCCGTTATGTTTAGGCCCAAATTATCTGTTGAGTATAAAAGATGGATTACAGACAATATTATGGATATGACTAAAAGAACAGAGTCATGGCCATCTTAAAGACACATTTTCATAGCTTTCAAATTAATCCTGGCGGCATATTAAAACTTTTGACTCTACCATTAAGAACCATAGGTTCAAAAGCTAGGTTGTATGAAGCAATCAACGATCGTGACAACGATAATTCTTATAAACTAAATTCTTGTAAAATTGTTATACATGTTACTGTAATGTTGTTTTTTTCCTCACTTTAAGGAAAGCAATATAATTATGTAATCATGTTAAAAGAAAAAAGAACTATAAAAGACGGACGAAAGATACCAGAGGGACAGTCAAACTCATAGATCGAAAACAAACTGACAACGTCATGGCCAAAAATAAAAAGACAAACAGACAAATAATAGTACAGATGACACAACATAGAAAACTAAAGACTAAGCAACACGAACCCCACCAAAAACTGGGGGTGATCTCAGGTGCTCCGGAAGGGTAAGCAGATCCTGCTCCACATGTGGCACCCGTCGTGTTACTTATGTTATTACAAATCCGGTAAATAGTCTAATTCGGTAAGTCACATTCGTGAAAAGGGAAGGGTATTGTAGTTACGACATAAGGAACATATCCGATATCATCTGTGAAACGGTTATTCCATAACGGTCAACCAACTCGTGATGGCGTCCGTAAAATATACGAAGGGATGACTTCAACTTCACCATTTGGAACTCTTGGTTTAATATCTTCCTTGTGAGCAGCCATCCTCTATCAAGGAAATCATGATAGGAAACACAAGCCCGGGAATATCGTATCAATTGGGAGACATATACTCCGTATGCAGGCGCTGTTGGAATGTTGCTACATAGAAATGGAAAGTTCACAATTGGGAAGCTGAAATCATCTCTTTTGTCGTAAAGTTTTGTTTTCAACCGACCCTCATTGTCAATTTCTAGATGTAAGTCAAGATATGAGGCAGACTTAACTGTATCTGTAGTATCCTTTATCTCTAGTTCGATGGGATAGATTCGTTCAACATAGTCACCAAAATATAAAGAATTCGTGCGTTCAAAGACCTTTTCTGAAATAGTCTTCTTCAGGAACGTCCAAAACCAACAACAAATAGCAAAACAAAACTAATGTCAACTTTGATGCGAAAGTAAGATCTTTAGTTTCTTTATCCTCTCGTATTATATCAATAAAGAAATTCAGAGAAAAGAAAATTATTTGATAAATCATGTCAATACAGACGTTCTGCCTTCTAAGCGGATGATATTAACGAAGACTAGCAGTAAATCAGCAGTGGCATCATGGAAGTACTAGTTAAAAACATAACGTATTATAGTCTGGAGGCTAGTGAAATTTACATACGTCGTAACTTTAGGAGAGGAGGTATATGACACATGGGGCTATAATAGGAAAATGAATATAAACTCAACTTGGCGAGAAGTTGTTCAAGTCCTAATATATTTTAATTCATCAACGGAGAATTTTAGAAACAAATATGTTCAAAATCAAATCAATACCGAAGTACTGACTACTGAGCTGATCATAACCTCGGGGACTTGCAGCCTACCATTAGTAAACATGTGTATGAAAACGTAGAAATGATAGCTATATGATCAAAAGACCAAACAAAAAATGAATATCCAAATTCACCTCAAGTCAATATCTATTGAAGTAGTTTGAACCATTAGTTCTTCATAATTTCGTTATTTGTCAACGGGAAATCTGAGGAAAGAATGTTACAAATAATGTCCATTGCAAAGTACTCATTACTGAACGGATGATTCCCTTTGGGACAAAAAGTCAATCATCAGTGTTATCATTCCAGTGCTTGTTAACGAAAAAAACACTTTTTATACTTTCGTGCGTCATATTTTTTTTCCTGGATTAACCTTCAACAGCTGAACGATAAAAGTAATCAAAATGAAAGCCCGGATGTATAAATACAAATGTACATCAAAAGCTTCATAGTCATACGACAAAAAAGACCCACAAATAGCAAATGCATTGAATGGCATCTGTGCCTATGACAATTGGAGTTTAGTTTCTTGATAATTACTTGATGCACAAACGGCGAAATTTAGAAAAAAAATTATATCGATATTCTTGATTTAAAACGTGAAGATTTCAATTTTCCAGTTGTCAACTTCCCTTATCGCAGTAGTAACTTACCCTCTGCCATCGTATGGCGTTTACATATCTCAATTATTGCGCTCGTGCATTTTCACATTATACGGACTTTATGAACATCGGTGTGCTCCATAAACAAAAAAACTGCTCTAACAGAGTTATGAGGAAGAACGACTGACTACGACAAATATCAAAAATTTTACAATCAGCATAAATTTGTTGAGCGATACTATGTGTCGATGTTTCAACTAATTAGGGAAATGTTTTCGCGGTTTTGGTTCTTTAGATACCAGTATAGTTGTCGGGTCTGTAATTTAATCGATTGTGTCCTATTCTCAATTGTGACAATTTCAAGTGTAAATTCGCATGACATATTTGGCAGGCGATGCGTGCATAGTAGGCAACGCTTATCTGGTCAAGGTCCCCAGTCTCACTCCTTTTTTTCCGCAGCAGGTTTTTTTTTGTTCTGTTGTATTATCTCTTCTTTCTCAATTTGAACTTTGGTAATTACTGTCCCCTAAAATTTAACTTCATTAGAAACTATCAAGGTATTTAGTATGTGTCTGAAGTTTAACCTTTTTTATCTTGTTTTATGTTTGTTTTGAAAATAAAAATGTACATATATCACCTTTAGTTGAAGTTTGTTTTTGACATTTTAGAGTTTGGAAAAACAAACTTCACAAGAATTAAAAAATGTCCAACTCTAACCAGTGTTTCTGTTGTGTATTAATAGTAACTAGTGTTAATGGTTGGTAGTTTTGTGGAATATTGTCAATGAGACGTAAACATACATACATAGTAATCAAAGGTACACACTTATCTATCATGCTAAAATAAGGACGACAAATTGAATTTCATTGGACATTTTCACTGGTTTTAGAATTCTCATTTCTTGTTAACATAACAATGCAAAACGGATACACTGAATTATGGATAGTTTATTGAGTGGGTGTACTGGGTATATTGTACCAAATCCATCCATCCGAAAAGTAAATTATAAAAAAACATGTCCATGCATGCACGACTATGTTATGATCTCACGCATGAATATTATTACGTCAGCGCATCCTTAATCGTATCTGTATAATTATGTTACATCACCGCATCCTCACTTATACCTGTATTTAAATCACCGTATATAAAAAAAACACCACAGTCACCATGACTCAGTGTCAAATTGATTTGGTGAGAGAGGCAACCAAATGTGATTACAAACAGCTCGACACAAATGTATTGAAGAGAGCATCTGTTTTTACCATTGACGACGCGACTAAATTATTTATAAAGAAAACAGGTAGACGACTACAGCAAAAGACATTCATTCATATCGTGGTAAAGGATAAAACAATTAAAATCAACGTTTGGTTAAAACTGTGTTATCTGAAAGAGAGTATAGTGTTTCTACATTCTTTTATTGTAGATCACTAAACTTCATTTATTTTGAGAACAATTGTCATGTCATGCATGGAGAAGAAGCTTCTAACTACCGTCTTGATCTATTCTTTTGCCGAGGTGTTACAAGAATTAATTACACAGAAAACGAAAGAAAAGTGTTCAGGTTGCCAAGAAAAACACCCCAGTCAACATAATCATGAATGTTTGATGAATGGAGAGCAGATGGAAAGACATTTTGAAACAGCATGCGGTTCGTTTTCACTTTAAGATGTGTTGATAAAATTCAGAGAAGACGTAAAAAACTGAACATGTCCTCAGAATTTGTGTGCAATTACTTCTAACTCAATGTGATTGTGTTGGACAGACTACGAAGTCAATCACTAAAAGACAGTGTTTACCATTTAATGGAAAAAAGAATCAAAGCACGTGGACACTTAATATGACATTAGTTTTTCATATATTGTAATTGTTTGTAATTTTATATATAATTTATTTTTTTGTATTCGTGTTTGATATTTTGTGTGTTCAATAAATATTTCATAATTTGTTTTCTTTTTGAAATTTGTTGCTAGAACTGATGCTTTTCTTCAACGATAAGTTTTTGCATTGTTGGTTTTCATTATTACTTTGTCAATTGATTTTCAACTGAAAAAAAACACACCAAAAAAATCCTTCCAAAAATGAAAACCGAAGCTAAACACGTAAAAAAATATCATTCTCCGAGTAAATTCATGCGCATCATATCCCTGAATGCATCTTACATTATTTGTTTCAAAAATCATCGTGATCAACACCA